CCGTAGAAAACACAGACTTTGTCGCCGGGCTTGCATCCTGGCGTGGCGACACCGAAGCGACCGCCGGTGGTACTGAAGAAAGAATGACCAGTCATACCATGCAATCTATCTGCCCAGAGACTCGCCCGCAATTTCCGCTCAGCTGGAAGATCGAAATAATATTGGCAATCATCATCTCTGAAAATATTCCACCCGTCTTCGTAAGCGATCGCTGCTTCCCTATGGATCCTCGTATCCATGAGTAGAGCCATCATATACTCTGAGGGCATACTGTCGACATCTACTTCTGCATCGTGAGCCGTCTGACGAGCTAGATGGAGGCTGCGGGTAAAAACATCGACATTTGCCGCATGTACAGGATTGCCCATATTGCGCGCTCGGAAATCTGCATTCGTTAAGGAGTCGTAGCAATTTTGCAGTTCTTGGTTTTCCACGACCTCTGATACAGTATCCAAAAGATGACCGCAAGTGTGCAGGTAATCATCCTTCTCCCCGAACGAGATGAATTTGCGCGATACATACGAGGTCGCCAGCTGTCTCAGGTCATTTGGCTGCTGCATTTCAACCCCTTCTTCTACAACCTCCTGTAGAAGTTGTTTATGTTCTTGTCCGCTTACAGGATCGGCCCAAGCCCCTATTATCAAGAACAAACACGCCGGTACACCCTCCAGAGCTGGGCACCAAGACGGAGATGATTGCGACCTTCCCTCAATTGTGGGCGGTACTGTCAGTAGACACAGCGATTGCTCTGCGGCTATGATCGTTCTCGCGAACCGCATGTGCGTTCCCCAGAAGTCGACACGAGCGTTATCGCTGTAATCAACTTCTGGCTCCAATTCCGATCTGAGATGATAGCTCAACAATCCGGTGATTGCCCAGGCTCGATCCACTGGCTCCCTTACATGTCGGTCGCGTAGCGAATAGAGAAGGTAGGGTAGTTGATTGATCGGTACCGCTCCGTTCGATAAAACGTCCTTGCGGTATCTTCTCAAGGTTAGGAACTGGTCCGCACATCTCCCTAAGCCCTTAAACATCTCGACGAGCCGCGGCCAGGAGTACATATATGCCTCAGTTCTAAAACACCCTTCACAGATCAACTCAAGAAACTCTTCAAATTTTAACCAAAGAGGTCCTAGCAACATGATAGGCCGTCTTGCAAGAACTGCCTCTTGAAAGGTCCATAGACGTTCAAACCACTCGTGCTTGCAAACTTGTATCATGCCAAGCCAGAATGGCTCATCTGCACGGAACAAATCCGGTTTCTGAACCGAGGGTTGAAGACCCTGATCGAGCATCGAACTCCACTCCTTTTCCATTTGAAATGCGCTGGAGAACCCGAGCATGAACTGCTCACTCTGCGCCGTGGGAAGGCCCATCCATATGACGACAAAAGTAGCGAATGAGTAGATTCGATGCATCAAGGGTATTTGTACCGCCTTCTCCTCAGAGTCTTGCTGATTGATGCATATAGAGTCCAGCCAATACGGGTAGTTTGGGGTTAGATAATGGAGCATCTCGAAAACAGTGGGAGTAACTGCAAGGTTCTTCCCATTGCATAGGACGTTGATAGAAGCTTCTGCTGCCCCCCAGACATAGGACACCGCGTCGTATTCAAGATCATCTTGAAACTTGTGCGGGGTGACGGTCAGCCGCAAAGTATCCGTGTCGCGAACGATGGTGAGGAGTCGGATTTCATCAGGCTGAAGTAGCCGTTCGCTATAAGGTGATGTGGTGTTTGCGCTATCGCAGGGTTCGTCGGGTTCTTCCAATGCGCACTCTTCAAACTTTGCTTCCAGACTGTCAAGTGCCATTCAGGAGTCGGTATTCGCCGTTGCGCAATGTTTGTAAGCTGCTAGGAGGATGGTTGATGAAAAGCGGGGGCGCGACGCTCAAGTAGCCCGCCACGGCTGACAGCACGAAGATTGGGGGCTGAATGTGGCTGCCTTGCCAACCTGAGGGCGTGACCCGGTGCGCAGCAAGCCACTCCTGTATCAGCCCAAGAGTGACGAATCCTGTCCACTGTCGTAATCATGAGAGGATGTAAGGCGCATGTACATGCGCCAGTTGAGTAAAGCATCACGGTGGGCTTGAAGTAGTAGGGACGCGCGCGTGAACTAGGAGGCGGACGAATTACGCTAGAGCCAACCTTGATGATGTCATCTCAGTGCTGATACAAGGAAGAAACTGAACAGGGGCGTTGCAGAGTACATTGTTATAAACAACGGTATTTGGCGAAGTTTCAACGCAATGTAGACGTCTAGGTTATCGAATTTGGTAAATGTGCAATCTGTTCCTTTGGTATGGTGCTGTAACAGATATAGAAATTGCGGCGCAATCACGTCCCGCCCAGCGCATGGAGAGGCTGGGAGTGCTCATCAATCTTGCACCGACATACTGATACGCTTGATTCATGTGTTCGTGGGAAGATATGTTGTCTTATGAACGTGACCATCATGGCCAGTTCTTATTCGGCGGCCCCTGCAGCTTGAAGTAACCCGGCTGCAGCTTCTGGAAAACCTCAGTAGGATCGTACTTGCGCGCGATAGCCCTCAGCTTGTTTGCACTCTCCCCATAACTATCAACCACATTCTGGAACTGGCTGGCGTAGTTCATATAGATGTAGTCGTTGACCATATTCCTGCGCTTCGCCTCGGCCTCCATCTTCCTGACGATGTTGGCGTTCGCCTTCAACACGCGCTCGTCGTCCTCCTTCTTATCCCAGCGGCTGCTCAAGTTTATGAGCAGGATCGGACCGTCGGAAGGCGAAAGGCCCAGCGCATTCCCGCCCTTCTTCTGCATCTGCGTGAGCTGTGCGACGGTGATGACCTGGAAGGTGTTTGCAGGTAGGATACCGGCCACATCTCGGATCTTCTCGAACTCTTCAAAGGTGGCGTCGAACATGAACTCTACCATCCCATAGTCTAGTTTGGATGAAGCCGTCCAGAATGAGTCTCGATAGCCTTTGGGGTTGCTGTCGTTCAGCATTTGCGTGAAGTTGGCCAGGGTGTTCAATTGTAAGGTGTCCTGGAAAGCTGGGACTGCGCGATACTCATCGAAGACTGGAGCGTCGAGAACCGGGTCAGAGTACTCCAGCTCGGCAACCGCAATCTTGGTGTTCGAAGCGGCATCCAGGAAGATAGCCAAGAATTGAGCAGCTTTGGGATCAGCCTCTTTGTTCGACCCCAAGTTCACGAAGGCATCGATAGCAGCAGGGAAGCTTTCCTCAAAGAACCTTCTCTGTCCACCAAGCATTAATGGGCCGTGAGCGAAAGTTTCGAGATTGAAGGTTGTGACGATGCCGACATTGTTGCCGCCACCTCTCAATGCCCAGTACAGGTCTGGGTACGACTTCTGGCTTGCTTGTACGATGCGACCCGACGCGGTAACGACCTCGAAAGACGCAACGTTGTCACATGCCCAGCCGTATTCGTTAGAGAAGAACGAGATGCCGCCTCCCGTCGTGAGACCTCCGATACCGATAGCAGAGACGCGACCGCCTATGACCGCAAGATTGTCCTTGGCCAGGGTTGAATAGATGTCGTACCAAAGGCTACCAGGTTCAATGGCAGCAACCTTCTTATCTTCCGACAGGGTGATCTTCTTCATGCGCTCGAAGATGACAGTGATGCCACCATCATTGCTCGATGCTCCAGTGAATGCTGCATGCCCTCCACTTCGTACTGCAAAAGGGCATTGGGTGAGTCGCGACAGCAGAACGAGAGTAGACACATCGCGTGCTTCCTCGGGTTTGAAGACGCAATACGGTTGTGCTTCGCGCTGTTGCTGTGACCAGAAGTAGTTCACAGCTACGCCGTAGCCTGTCTCTTCTTGAGTGTCGACCTTCGCATCACCAAAGATGCGTTTGAGAGAGCTGCACTAAAGTCGTGGTCAGTACCATACCTGAAAAGAGATAACGTGTGGAGGCAGGCGGGACTTACAGCAACCGAACATGAGCCTGAACTGGTTCGCTTGGATAGGTCGGTTGGGTCAGGAATATCGGAGACGTTTACACCATTGTCCAATAATGCAGCAGTAACATCAAAGTCAGGTGACTCGAATGTCTGTTGTGCAAGTAGTACGCTTGGGAAGAAGCCTAGGAGAACAAATTGACTAAATCGCATCATGGCTGGATGTTAAGTGCCCAAGAAACAGGTGCGAAAAACAACAACCCCACAGCACGACTCGGGGGCACTTCCTTATAACATCCTGGATTCCTTTGCCACGAGTGAAAAGTGCATGAGCCCGCCAGTCTGGTGCTGCCGGGCGTGATCCCGGGCAGTGGCGAGCTGTGAGGCAGGGTGGGGACCTTCCTAGCAACACCATGGCTTGTCTAGATAGAAAGTTCGTAGCTGGTCAAGATTTAGTCAAGATGCCAGTCGAGTAATGTACGATGGTACCTAGGTTGTGGCGGCCACTACATGAGTAGTTTCCAAGACCAGCACGATGGGGATCTGGGGCTATCCTCAAATGGGCCTAAGCCGTCTCTCCAAGTACGCGTGCGCCCGCCACGATTGTGAACTGCAACTCAGATCGCCTATAACGTCTCGTGGAAGCTAAAACACTTGCTGAATCTATATAATAATTCGCGTCAGTAGACATTTCTTCAGCTGCTGTTAGTTCTCATGGCGTCTCGACGCAGCGGAAAAACGTAGCCGTCGGTGCATGTGCAGGAAGGTCCGATCGGTGAGCTTCATGCAATAAGTGGGTTGCATATATTTCAATAGCTGTAACAGTATTCTCGCTTACGAGAGATTCGTGGGTTCACATTGCGTCTTGAAGATGAGGGCGAAGAGGTCGTTGTTCCTGGGCTGATGAGGGGAGCGGCTCCGAAGGCCGGACCAGGAAAGCGGAGTGAGGCGTGGGTCAACACTAAGCTTGAACTAGCAACGGCAGCCCCACTGCTCGCCTTCGCTTTCTTATCGCCTTTGGAAGTTTACCGTCTCGCTACCTATGCTTTTTGCGAAGCTCTTGTTACCATAATCGACTAAGGCATGGCGGCAATGGCCGGCGCCGTGGACCCCCCATGGCCTCGCTCCTTCCGTCTGAAGCCAAAGCCCAATGGCTCGCGGGTACTGTTCAGCCACGATTGTTTCCAGGGTCCGCAAGATCTACCCCCTGAGGTTCTTTACAGCGACAACTTGACCAAATCCGAACAATTGGCGCGCGACTTTCTCGATGAGGCTGTCGTGGGCTTTGACATGGAATGGGTTTGGCCAGAGACAGAAGTTCTCAAGGGAAGAGTTGCGCTCATCCAGGTTGCGAGCGAGAGCAAAATAGCCTTGTTTCACATCGGACGTCATGACGGAGATGCAGCCGATCAGCTCATTGCGCCGTCGTTGCGCACGCTCATCGAGAGCCCCACTGTACTGAAGACTGGCCAATCTATTATGGGAGATTTCTACCGACTCAACAAGTACTTCCAACTACAACCGAAGGGCGCGATCGAGCTGAGCTATTTCCAAGTGTTGGTCAATCCGGGCAGGCCAAACTTTAATTCGTCCTATTATCCAGGAGGTCTCAGAGGTCTGGTCGAGAAGTACTTCCCGGGATACACGTTGAAGAAAACTGAGCACATGCACAAAGATTGGCTGGCGCCGCTTGAAACAAACCAAGAGCTTATACAGTACGCCGTTGCAGATGCATATGCAGGACTTATGATCTACCATCGGCTGAATGCGTTACGACTGAACATGCAGCCTTGTCCGCCCCTACCAGCACGGGTAGAAGAAACTAGGGCTTACAAAGAATACACTTCGGGTGCTTTTCCTGAGCCCAAGCCAATTTACTTGCAGTCCATCCACCTGCATGGCTCAAGTCGACAAGCTAGTTGGTTCTTTTCGATGGAAGAAGATGATGAGGTGGCGACGGAACTTGATACTGATTCGAGAGCGTTGTACGACCGGCTGGTAGAGCTTCGTCAGAAGATAGCGAATGAGGAGGAGATACAACCTGGCGAGCTCACTACTGACTGTACACTTCGACATATTGCCTCAACCCGGATTGCGACAACGGACGAGTGCATAAAGCTACGCGGGATCTTTCCACAGCTGCGCAAAGTCTTAGCCAGAGAGTACGCTAAAGTGGTAAATGCTTTCCAAGAGGAGATCCAAATTGCAGCGGCAAACCAGCAACCTGAACATGGATCTCCAAAAATTGGTGAAGATGCCAAAGGCACCGTCTCAGATCCTCCCCAAATGCCAGCGGAAGAGACCGGCCAGGCACATACTGGACTTTCATTCTCCATGGCAGAAACTGGGATCGCTACGGACGAGCATACCGGCGGCGATACCGAGCCTGAGAGCGATGCCGACGAAACGAATGATGTTTCAGCAATTCATGCTTCAGCTGGCGTTGAACAAGATCAAGACACCGACAACCATAAGGATGATGCACCGTTAAAGCGAAAGCGTTCAACGAGCCCACAAATCGGTCGGCAACCTCCCGCGAAGAGCTCCTAGACGCTTTGCCGTGGACAACTATACGTCCGATGACGCAATGGTATGGCTGTGGCCACTTAGCGGCTACGTTTCTATTCCATACGAGGAAGCAATTGGACGTCTACCTCCTGGAAGTCTGCAATGTTTTAAGGGTTTTGTCAGCTTGAGGTTCAGTATCAGTGTAGACTGCTGCGCATCTGTTCGGCTTTCCCTTGCACGAGGTGCATCGAGGGCTTGACCAGAACATGACCGCGTTTGAGTAGAGAGGGGCTTGTATACATGCGGGAGCGGGCCTAGATCATGTCAGAAAGTCAGCTTGTACGAGGGAAGGCAAAGGAAGGGACGCCCCGCAGCTTACGGCCGAAGCAACGCCGATTAGGGACCAACGGGGAGTACCTCTTGGTGTATGTATACTCATGGAATGACGGCTAAGCTTGCTTACTCGCGTTGGTTGGACTGAGTAGGTGCACTTGTCAAAAGAGTGTACGAGGCTGCCTGCATGGCTCTCGCATTAGGCGTGCCTAGCTAATGCAAGGCGTAAGCTGTGTATTGTACAAACCCCGCGCCCGTCCACAGCTCTTCTTCATGTTCTCAAAACAAGCCTCTCATCTTATCTACCTTACCTTCAAGTGCGAACTGCCTCCGAACCCAATTAAAGATGCCGATCGACTCGTCAACATGGAAGGAGTACAGCAAGATGGACGCCGAGTTGGAAGCCGTGCGAACCATCAGCAAGTCCATACACGCACTTCGCTAACAGAGTAAGCTGCTACCCAATCTACCACCGAGCAAGTCTTTCGAAGACTACTCATCGGCTGTCGAATTGCGTCAGTCTTTCAATGAGCAAATCGCTCAGCTGGTCGCAGCTGGTATTGTGGCTTTCCCAGACTGGACTGGGTACCATCGATCCGAGATTCAGATTCCGACGCGCGATGGCGCACCCCTGCGTTCGCTCGTGTACCGTCCAGAGGGAAAAGAAGCAGGGCCATTGTACGTGTACTTCCATGGCGGAGGATGGAGTTTTGGGATGCCAGAGTATGGCGAGGGCATGGCGGAAGTATTGGTAAAAGAGTTGGGCTTTACGGTGGTAAGCGTCGGGTATAGGTATGGGCCTGAACACGTCTTCCCTACTGCCGCGCATGATGCTATCGATGCGGTCAAATGGGTAAGTGCATGCACAATCATTTCTTCCAATTCCAAGAGACTGATTTACACATCTTCAGTGTGGCGAGAATGCAGCGTCGTTGGGCGCCAACCCTTCTGAAGGCTTCATCGTGGGAGGAACGTCAGCTGGAGGTAATCTGGCAGCTGTAGCAGCTCATCAAGTTATTGACGACAACTTGTCTCCGAAGGTGACTGGCGTCGTCCTCCTCTCTGCCCCGTTGTGCCATCGCGAAGCCATGCCAGAAGAGTACAAACCCCACATATCCAGCTGGGAGGACCACAAGGACGGCCTGGTACTGAGCCGACAAGCCATTGAATGGTTCTATGGCAACTACAAACCAGATCCTATGTCACCGTTGATGAGTCCGTTGATCTGGAAGACCCATAAAGGCCAACCCGCTGCGTATCTGCAGGTCATGGGGTGAGTGTGGTATGTCGTAGATGCTGAACAGTGCTGACGGACGTAGGACTGATCCACTTCGTGATGAGGCGCTCGTGTACGAAAGTCTCCTCCAGGACGCCGGCACACCGACCAAGGTGGAGGTTTACACTGGGTTGCCACATGGCGCACCCGACTTCTTTCCCATGCACAGCGCTGCGAAGAAGGCATTGGTGGATCTGAAGGAAGGTGTGAGTTGGATCATGCAGCAGAGCTCGGGTTGATACACGACGAAGGATGTATGCTAGAAAATGGTAGATGCTAGACAATACATCGATCTGGTTCGCGTCTAATGGCTAAATCTCACGTAATGATAGCACATGTGAAGAGACAGCCCTACTGACCGTTGCTGCCCTAGGGGCTCGCTTAGGGGCGGGACCCTGCTTGGACGCAGGTGGCCTGCACGCGTTATGGCTCCGTCATAGCGCGCCTTTCTTCTTTCACCCCAAGACACACGATACGGGACATCGTACGCCCGCACACACGACGGGCGACGTCCTGCACCGCAGGCAGAGAGCGCCAAGATGTCGAACCATCCGCGGTCAAGCCCCGCCGCCGCGAGGCCTGGCACTCCACGCGGGGCGCGACAAACAAACAGCGACGCGAACCTCCTTTCACACCCGCTCAAACGCCTGTCCCTGCACTCGGCCTCCAACACCCCGCTACCGCAGTCCCCCGCCTTGAACTCGCCCAGAAGTTCCGCTGACCTGCGCCGGACGCCCTCGACGCCCAATTTCAAAGCCAATGCCATCCAGCGCAGCCCCAGTGTAGCCAGTTTCCGCTCTTCTACGCCCACCCTGGGCAGGAAGACCTCGACCTCTTCCCTCCGCGGCGACCCTCCCCGACCGGGCACTCCCCGAAGTTCCGCTTCCCGCCGGTCGTCGTTCAATCCCAATATGCAGGCACCCATGCCCAAGAGCCCGCTGGGCCCCACACATGTAGAAGAGAAGCCACCACTGCGCGCATGTGATGTCGCCGAGGAGTACTTCAAGAAGGAGCTGGCCCGACATGAGGGCATGGCAGGCGCAGTCAACGCAGGAACTGTCGTCATCGTGCACGACCAATGCTACGGCCATCGCTTCTCACGGCCCAAGACATCCAAGAGCCACCTCAGCTTGATCATGGAGCGACCTGAGAGAATACTGGCGAGCGTTTTGGGCATATCGGCAGCCTACGTACGGCTCGGCGAGCGCCACGCTGAGGGAGACAACCCGCCACATCCACACCACAACCCACCCGAACGCGTACCTTTCAAAATTCGCAAGACTTCGCGGGCCGTCGACATCACTTCGCAGGTCGTCACAAACGTACACGGAATAAAGTGGATGGGCGAACTCAAGACTCTGTGCGACAATGCGGAGAGGAAGCTCGCATCAACTGGGAAGGAGCTGGCCAGGGACGCTCCTGCAGTCCAAGGACAAGCGCCCAAGCAGCAACTCCACGCCGGTGACCTTTATCTCTGTCCCGAATCGCTCAACGCTTTTCAGGGTGCTCTGGGAGGTGTCTTGGACGCCGTGGACGCTGTCTTCCAGGGAACAAGTCTAGGCGGTGGTCCTTCCAGAGCTTTTGTCTGCATCCGTCCGCCTGGCCACCACTGCTCTGACGACTTTCCCTCGGGTTTCTGCTGGCTGAATAACGTTCACGTTGGCATTGAACACGCTATGATGACGTACGGACTCACTCACGCGGCCATCATTGACTTTGATCTGCATCACGGAGACGGCTCGCAGGCCATAACATGGGCGCGCAACAAGAAGGTCCAGAACATGCCCAAGAACACCCCCAACTGGAAGAAGACCTCGATCGGCTACTTCAGCTTACACGACATCAACTCATACCCATGTGAGGACAGCGACGATGATAAAGTCCAAGCGGCTAGTCTCTGTATTGACAACGCCCATGGTCAGTCTATCTGGAACGTCCATCTACAATCATGGAAGACACCCGAGCAGTTCTGGGAAATCTATGAGGAGAAGTACTTGGTACTACTTGAAAAGACCCGTCAATATCTCAAACATCACACCAACCGCTTACGGTCCACACCAAACCAGCCCGCTCCAAAGGCAGCCATCTTCCTATCCGCTGGATTTGATGCGAGTGAGTGGGAGACTGCTGGAATGCAACGTCATAGCGTCAACGTGCCTACTGAATTTTACGCTCGTTTCACTCGGGACGTGGTCCGGTTGGCTGAAGAAGAGGGCACCTCTGTGGAAGGGCGTGTCATCTCAGTCTTAGAGGGCGGATACAGCGATCGAGCGCTCACTAGTGGTGTATTCAGTCATTTGAGCGGCCTCGTGGACGGCCAAGTCCTGAAGGCTTCAGAACCATCAACGGGTCTCTCTCACTCTATGCGCAACAGACTTAGTGGAATCAGCATACAGGACGAAGACGTTCCCATGCAGTCTGTCGAAGCAGAGCTCACGCCCGTCAGCTACGATCCTCTATGGTGGCATGCGGATCGTTTGTCTGAATTGGACGGCCTCGTTCCGCCTCCGCCTGTACATGTGTCGAAGACGACACGCACTGACCGTCTGGCCCATTTTTCTTCGCCCACCCAGTCCTACGTAGCCAAAGTCGTGGATCCAACCAAGATCAATCGAAGCCTTTCCGCCAAGTACGCCTCAAATCCATTGAGAGCGCCCACCCCACCACCACCGGAGGTTGACTGGGCTACTGCCGCCCATGCTCTGCGTACTTTGCTGGTACCATCAGATCGCCAAACCCGTAGCCACCGACCAGAGGATTTGGCCGAGGTCAAAGCCAAAAAGGAGAAGCCTGCTGCGCCTGCTGCGGCCTCAGCCCGCACAGATACATCAGGGCGACAACTGCGTGGTCGTAAAGCTGCCCCCTCCTACGCTGAGCCTGGTTCGGATGACGAGAAGACATCTCGTGTAGAATCACGGGCGAGTAGGCGGCAGACCATAGCCGACTTTGCACCAGCCAGCTCAGAAGCTCCAGGTACAGCAAGCTCTGCTTCTCGTCGCATGAGTATTGCTTCGAGCGTCTCTTCCATCGGCGACAACAGGGGTGTTAGTCGTGCGCCAAGTGTAGCAGCAAGCCGGAGAAGTGTTGCGCCTTCTGCAGCTCCAGCCAACGGAGTTGCGATGAAGAAGGCACGGGGCTCAACAACGACGGCAGCTGCAGCAGCTCGTGCGCCTCCATGTCCAGCCGTTACGAGAATGCCTTCGACCCAATCTGTCAAGCCCAGTGCCCCTAAAGACAAGGAGAATGATGGCATGGACGCACTTACTTCAGGCTTAAAGCGGGTTACGTTGAAGATGCCCTCAAAAGAGGAATATGATGCACGGGAGAGGGAGAAGGCTGAGAAGTTGAAGGCTGCCGAAGCACCGAAAAGAACCACTACCCGAAAGCCACCGGCTGCTCGCGCTCCTCCAACAAAGCCTACGACCAAACCCGCGACGACCGCAAAAAGGGGTCCAGGTCGTCCAGCAAAGACTTCCAAACCTGCATCCCCAGTTCCCGAGGCCCCGCAGATGCAGGTAGCTGCTGCTGCGCCGCTCGAGCAGCCTCAGCCGGTACAGATGGATTCGTCTACTGTCTTGCCACAGCAGGAAATGCAAGCTTCCATGGAACAACCTCCAATCGATCGTCGAATCTCTGGCGGAATCGTGCAACCACCCACTGAATTGCATGATATGGCTATAACACCCGAGCAAATCCGGGAACAGCTACCTATGGTAAGTTCTGACTACGTAATGCACATGAAACATATGCTAACTTCGCAGCCCTCTTTCGTCACTGTAACAGAGCCGCTCAAGGATGTTTCACCACCTTCCCGCGCCGATACGCCTCCACCTCCACCCCCATCGAATCTTTCCGAGTTTGTCAACTACACTGCGCAGAACTTTGGCGGAAACTCAGAGTTCGTAACTCCGCACGACGCATCAGATCCTCAGGCCTCGGCAACTTTACAGTGGGTTGCCAATACACATGCTGAGGATACAAGCATGCCTGGAGTTCCACTCATGTCACCGCCAAGCAAGAGGGCTGATCTGCCTGTCTTCACATCAAACGGCGCGATACCATTCGCATCAAACTCGAACGGAGCCATGAACTCACACACTAGATCGGAGGATGCCGGTGCCGGATTGAAGAAAGAGGAGAATGGAAGGGATATCTGGGACATACCCGACACGCCAGCTCGTTAGAGTACTTCAGCACTACAGCCCCTCCACTCGATTTTGTTCTGCTTTCATTCTTTGATCACGCGTACCGCGATGCGATATCGCGGTTGCGTTAATCAGTGGTTATTGCCGGCTTACGCGAGGCAGACTATACCTGACGTTTCCCAGCTTGGTGTTTACTGGTGGAGTTGATTTCACTCTAGCGAATCGGCGCGTGAGCCGTAACTATTTGGAGTTGTCTTTGTAGAATTTCTGTGGGGCAGATCGTCGATTGTAGCTCTACCTAGAATATGCGCATGTAGAAGATAGATACCCCCGGAGGCGAGTATGCGAAGGATTTAATGCGAAATTTCTCATACTACACCCGTCTTTCAATCGTGTTCAATGGCTTCCTGCGTTGTCTAAACAGCTTTCAATGTATCAGAGCTGAACCAACCCCGCGGGAGTGAAGTTCCAACACCACCCAAAGTACCAATACACCCCTCCCACAATTGCCACAACCCCCAGGGTAAGAAACCCTGCCTAAGCGCCCGTCCGAATCCCGTACTCAGCGCCGGTGTAACTGCAGCCCCCGCAGGCGGCCGCCCAAGTACATGGTGTAGCATGTCAACATCGGTGTGGGCAGGCGCGGGAACCAATGATTAGCGTGCATTCCGTATCATGGGACAAGGTTTCGGTGCGGGGCAGCCAAAGCGCGACATGCGCATCATGCACGTCCAAGGGTCTTAGCTTACGGGGCGTGACGTACTTCTGGGTCGCGTCCTTGATTGCGATGGTTAGTTGGTTGCCTGGGAGGAGTGTGTGTAGGAGGATGAAACGTACACGGGGATGGGGGGCAGCTGGAAGATGGGGGCGAGCACTGTACTTATGGTGGCTGATCCGACGGAAAGGTTGATACGCTTCTCCTTCGCTCCTGCCTGTGCACCTTTTGACAGGACGCTTGGACGTGGTTTGTTTGCTGGGTCCCGGTACTTGATTAGGGCGAAGGCGTGGGCTAAGGTGCAAGTACCCGATTGACCATCGAACCTTCCACTCTACTCTTCGTTTGTTCAGCTTGTGCTACCTGGTTCTCTTCTTCCTCTTCTACTCTTTTGCCCCCCTCCCACCGACAACACCACCGACTTCTACACCAAAAGTTGCCCCATCCATACCCCAAACAAACCTCACAACCATGGCCGACGCCGCCCCCGCCAACGACTCCAACGGCGGCAGCAGCACGCTCAACCCCTTCGCGAAACGCACCTCGCACTCCGACCAGTCCATCCTCCTCTACAAGATCACCACCACGATCTCCTGGCTGCTCCTCGTCATCTCCGCCATCTACACCACCTTCGCCGCGCCGTCAGGCCCGCACTCGCACAAGTTCTGGCACAACAATCCGCAAACCCCGTTCGCGCAGTCCAGCATCTTCACCTCCATCTACGTGCTCATCATCTTCATCCTGCAGGGCGGCTACGCATACGCCCTGTACATGAGCGACGAGACATACGTGACTGCAGCTGCAAACCTCGGATCGCACTTCATCGCCAACAACCTTCTTCTCTTCGGCTTTGTTCACCTCTTCACCCGCTCGCACTTCTGGCTTGCGCTCTTCTTGCTCGTGCTCAACTTTGGTAATCTCAGCTTGGCTTATTTCCGCCACTCTGCTGCCCCGAGGACGATCCATGTGGGTACTGTGAGTGGACCGCTTGCGTGGAACTTTGTTGCGTTGTACTGGGTGGGTGCTATTGCGGTCCATTCAAATCACTTTGCTGCGAGGATCGTGGCGAATGTGTTTATTTGGGGGTGGCTTGGGTATGGCATGTTCTTCTTGGTCGCGTACAAGGATTACACCATGGGATTCGCCTTGAGTGTGCTGGCTTTCTGTAAGTTCGACCTCTGCTCTCTATCGTGCGAAAGTGATTTGGCTAACTTGGCTTCTAGCAACCGGTGTCGGACAGTTCCTGACTCGCCCGCATCTCTTGCAACTCCAGTGGATCTTCGCTTTCTCAATCGGCGGTCTACTCTTCCTCCTCTCGCTTGCTGTTGGCATGCCTGGCCTGCTCGGACGCGATCCCTTCCCTCGTGGTCAGATTGTCAGCGAGGACAGGGAGAGGGCACCTCTGTTGGCTGATGACTAGATGGTTGTCGAAACGTCATCACGGATCTATTTGCAAGCTGTATTGCTTGAGATAAGGAGATGATGATCTGATTGGGCGACTATTAGGATATGATTTTCGAGGTTCAAGTTTGAGGATATGTACACATGGCACACACCATATTGGTTTAACCGTCGAGACGTATAGGCAACAAGAGCCTATGATACCTATGGCTCACATAGTTGAAAGCGTCTGCTACTATTGAAGTAGCATAAAAGTCTCACCTCCGTCAAGCTTTGTGTGATGTACATCTCCCCGTGATCATTACACTATCTACAAACGTCTACTAATACTAACTGCCCCCTTAAAGTAAAAGATCCTGATTCCCGTCGTTCGCTCCAGGACTCAAAACCATGTGTTGCGGCTCATTCTGATTAACTACCCATCCACCTCCAGCACCGCCGCCGACTTGATCCGCAATAGGACTTCCACCGAAGGTGCTTTGCCTCCCTACACTAGCAAAATACATGTCTGCATCGCTGACAGCGTTCGCCATGCCATTGCCATTTGTCGGCGAAAGTGATCCATTACCATTAGTAGTGGTATCGAGTCGCGATCGTTCGGCGGCGGAGCGGTCTCGAGCCTGCTGTGCTGCTTTGACAGTCGGTAGTTCGTGTTTCTGAAGTGCTGGTGAGTCTTGCAGTTTACGTGGGCGAGCGCTGCGGAAGACTTGGTTAACTGGCTTGAGGTATACTGTAGCCAATGTGCCGACGTTCAGACACATTTCTTCCAGGGTACCAGGGTCGAGCTTCTCGGACTCTTCGGCAGTAATTGGAGGCTTCTCACCCATGACGACCTTCTTCGCTTCTTCGGGTGCCGAAGAGAGTAGACGCCAGTACATGTACCCTCGATCGCGGAGATCGGGGTTGTCTGTTTCCTCAGTTGCCCACTTTAGTACCTTGGGTACTAGATTAGAACCACGAGTAGGTCTTTGGATGAACAGCTTGACGGTGGCAGTGAGTAGTGCCAGTTGCACCTCATGAGTCTCTTCTTGGAAGGTATCCAAGAAGTCTTCTAGCAAGACGTCTGAGTCTTCTATTCGGTCTGCGTATTGCCCGATGACCCAGATCATAGCGGCTTTCGCTTCTGGTTCATCTAGGGAGTCGAGGTTCTCACATAGTGTTGAGATGATCGATTCGTATTGGTTGGGGTATTTTCGGAAGATATTGCGGATGACGACGGTCGCCTCTTGTACGATGTACGAGACTTTCGTGCTGACGAGCGAGAGGAGGGTGCTGATGCACAATTGTGCAGCTGGCGCAATTTTGATGGCGAGTTTGCCAATGGCGCGTACGGACTTGCGCACAAAGTCGACATCGATTTCAGTAGCGTATCTGTCGTGGAGTCAGTTACCCATATTCAGAGTGACCTTAGAGTACTTACTCAGAAAGCTCCGTCAGCACTTCCTTGATGTTTCTCTCCGTCGCCAACATGAAGATGAGCTCCAGCTTCGTCACCTTGACGTATATAGGGTCGTTGTATTTGCAAAAGAAGACGCGGATATCGTTTCGCAGTACCTCTGGCCTGCGCTGCAGGATCAGAAGCGCATTGCGTAGTGCTAGGTACTGGATCTCGGGTCCTTTGGAGAGGAGTGTGACGAGCGGCGGTGACAGCTTGTTGCATAACGAAGTGACGACTTTCTGATCGCTGATGTAGTTCATTAGGTAGAGGATAACGCGAATGCAGGTAAGAACGACGGCAGAATTCGAGTGGGAAAGGCGCGGTGATATGCGCTCCGCGAGGAGAGCAGCTTCGCTCGTGTCCTGGGGGACGTAGTTCATCATAGCCTCTAGGATGTAGGTCTGACCCCATTCTGAGCAGTCTGGCAGAATCTGAACAATCTTGGATGCGCTCGCATAGTCGATCGTGAGCTTGATGTTCTCACTTCGCTCCCAGATGTCCATGAGTCCTGCCAGTGCACTTGACACTACTGTGGGATTCTCGTCTCTTAACATGCCATTCAGCCTGTCGATCAGATCTGATTGTTCCACCAAGTGTCGGTCGTGATCGTAGAGCTTCGCCACGCAGAAAGCTGCCGTCTTTCGAACGTAAGGATCGGAGTCTTTGAGGAGGTTCTTCAGGTGCGGCACGGTTGCCTCGACGAATTCTCGGACGTGAACGTAGGACATGGTCCGTAGGGCGAGTGCTCGTACTAAGGGGTTGTTGTCGTGCATGTCTTCCTGAATGATGGGCAGCGCTTTGAGCGCAATGTCAGGTTTTATCCTGGCATAGTTGACGAGATACAGGAAACACCTGCCCACGTCAGCATAGCCCTTCCTCACATAATCCTCACTACGCACATCTTCTTGATCTCCAAACTCGGTATGTGCATGCAGCCCACGATGTCCATGAATAGCGCGACCATGTCGTTGTTGCTCATGGTCATGTTGGCGACAATCTTCTTGAGGGCCGTCTTCTTCTGGGAGAAGTTCTTGTCCTTCTTGTTGCCATTGTTGAGTTCGACACGGAGTTCCGCGACTTTGCCCTGGTGAGTGCGGAGGTTTTGTAAGCGCGCGTTGTCAAAGGTGTAGGGTAGAAACATCATCATGGCAGTGGATGCCCATAGCAGACAGACAGGCTGAATAGGAGAAGATGCAATTGCACAAGTCGGAGACGTGGGTGGCACGAATGACGAGACAGACGTACCCTCGCAAAGAGCTTCGCATCTTGGCCGCCCTGGCTCATGTTGGGCTAATGATGTCGCGTATGCCAGCTGGGCTGTCCTCCCAATGCATGTGCCTGCCGTAGCACAATCAAGATAACCTCCCTCGCGACTTAGCGCCCCTCCCTTGCCGTCTCGAGGAAGCGTGCGGGGTTCGATGGCTGATTCGCTGGTCTATCGGCTTCGTATCGTGTCGCGCATATCGGAGGAACGTGGAAGAGGGCTGGAGAGGCGTAACGACAGAAATGATTTGTGATGTTTAGGGACCGTAACTTTTAGGAAGCCTGCCAGCGGTCAACACGGAGGAGGGGACGTGCATCCGCCAAGGCCGCCATATGTGGAGCTCTCCAGAGGCCCGCTCCGCAACACCACGAGCGAAGTTGCAACATCGTGAGACCCTGGACCCTGGCCACCGCAACACCATCTCAGACTCTGCTATCCGATACTCCGCCGTCACGAAGACGCCCCATCATGTCGAAATCGCCTCCTCCGCCCCCGCAGTGGGTGCTCGACCTCAACTCGACGCCCGCATCCAAGCCGAAGAACGCCTCGCTCTCAGACCCACCGGGCTACACGGCTTCTCTCACCAAGAAGGAGCGCTCTCAGGCATCAAAGACGCAGAGGCAGCCCCCGACCCCGGAAGAGATGGATACACTCAAGATGAAGAAGGCGTGGGAGGTCGCCATCGCGCCCGCAAAGCAGTTGCCCATGAACGCTTTTGGTATGTCATTTGACAGGAGACTCTGTGAGCAGACGCTAACAACACCAGGCATGTACATGACAGGCAACACTCTGCAAATCTTCTCCGTCTTCATGGTCTTCACGCTCTTCAAAACTCCCGTTCTCGCTGTACTAGGTCTTCAACGCACCTTCGCTCCCTTTGAAACCCCCGGCACATCTGGACGACTCCTCGGTGTCAAGCTCGTTTACATTGCATGCAACATGCTGATGTTGGCGTTGGGTATATGGAAAGTGAATGGCATGGGACTCTTACCAACGACAAAATCAGACTGGCTGGCATGGGAAAGTGAGAGGATATGGTCTGAAAGGGCAGTACCGAAGGAGTGGTTGTGAACGCAATCCTGATTGGAGATACGTATTCTATGATTACTGTGACGGAATAGTCGCTAAGGCTTTATACAAGGCCATCATGCTGACTTCCTCCGTTCCATCTTGGTCATCTCTGATCCTTTCCCTGGTGTCCGTCTCGTGTTGTTCGTTCTTGTCCTTCTCTTGCTCGTCCTCCATCAGAAAGCGGTGTTCAACTTGCCTCAACCGCTACGGGCCCATTCCTCGTCCTTGCCAAACTCCACATCTCCGTGTTTAATGAACCTCATCTCGTCGTCCGTAGATTCAGGATTCACGCCCGCATGATCGCTTCCAGCCAGCGTCACAGAATCGTCTTCTGAGATTTCCCCTAACGCTTCATCGTCGGCTGCTACCTCAATCACAGCTGGCTCTTGTACGGCGCGGTCGAGTTCAGCAGCCGTCGCCAGGTCGGCATGCAGCAATTTCATCAAGGCTTTTGGTATGAGATGTGGACCTTCGTGTCGCAAGTCCTCAGCTCCGTCACGGAGATCGGAGACACTGTGGTACCCATCGTAATGTCCACTGAGTGTCATCTCGACGGCGGCTAATAGAACGATGAGAGGGTCTCCGACGTCATCTGTGTCCAGGAAGGGGGCGACATCGCTCCATTTGGTGATGGTTTGCTCTATGACCTTGAGCATATCACTCTCATCCTTTTCAATGGCGTCTTCAGTGCTTGGAGCGGTGGCTGAGAAGTCTATGAGCAGAATGTCTGGATAGCCGCGATACCGATGGTGATGGACAGTCGGGTACAGGTTGAGCATGATGTTCGATGCCTCAATCTTCCCGTGTACCAAACCCTCCTCGTGTAGGAACCATACAGCATCGATCAGGCCCAAAATGATATGCGCAACGAACCAGCTGGGAATGCCGCCATGATCATTCTTAATATTCGCTTCGCCGAACTGCGCCAGCGTGGGACCGAAAATGGGTCGGAGACAGGTGTACGAGGTGGGTGACGAGTCGGCGTACTCAGCGCGTAGGACATATGAGCCGATGAATAGCGAAGCTTTGTCCCTCTTACGGTGCTCCTCGAACTGCGTTGCCTCATTGCGGAGCACGTCCTCGTCTTTCCTTGTCTTGACTACGACCAGCTGAGGCAGCAATCTCAGGTGCTGCTCTGATAGCGCAGACGTACTATTTTCCTTCATGCTCTTGTACAAGACGTCGCCCAGGTTCTTGTATGTCAACAACGGCAGTTGCTGTTGGAGACGCGCAAATCCAGATAAGGTCTTCCAAGCGTCGTGGTTCTCGATGGTGTCATCGGAAATATCCGGATCAATCTTATTTGACGGCTCGAATGGAGGGGGGAGCGCGCGTGGTAGACAGAGATACACTCCCGCGGAAGACTTCGGCGCTGAGAGGGTCTTGACCACGCGGAAGGATTCAGATGGGGGCCTGGGGACGGCGCCGGGGAGACGTTTTACAGCGGACGCCTGATCGAGCGACGGAGCGGAGGAGTCCATATCCGTAAAATTTTGGTAGAGATGTGGTAGAAGAGATGGTTGCAAAGTCGGTTGCAGAGCTGGTTGCGGAGTTGAGTGAGAAGACTGCCCAGTTGGGAAATCACGGTGACTGTGCGCATGATAACGTACGAGTCCAGCATATGACAGCCCCGGAGGGAAGTCATCACTGGCACTACACGTGTGAAAGCGCTCGACGCGCTAACAACGTCATATTAGTTGGGAAATAGCGTATCAAGATGAACCTCAGTGGGATAATGCGTGCACTATTGACAGCCAGAAAGGGCATGTGGTCTGCGAATGTCTGCTTCCAAATTCTGGCGTTAATGTGCCGCTCGATTTGTGCTGCCAGGGAAGTGTCTGGCCGACTCTTTCGCTGGACAAGCAATGGCCATAGAGATCACAGTCTATCCAACAGTGGGAACGATACCGTTAGATACTTCAGTTAGCGATTACTGATGCTGATGCACAAGTGTGAGCGCCACTCGTATAATCCCACCATGTTACGTCTATCTCGCCGACAAGATACGTGGTGAAGGACACACCAGATTACCTAGGTACAGTCAGGCGCTATGACCCTCCCTACTTGCGTGTAGGCTTTCTTCGTATCCTCTAACAAATCACCCCACTACTGCTTGTCTGACCAACATCCTGCCAACACATCTAGCTTCTCTATACGAACATGGCTTCAAATGGACAGCCCTATCAGCAAAAGCCGATTGTACAAACGCACCTTCAAGAAGTTCTAGGCAAGCTTGAGCAGCCAACGCATGAAGAAAGGCTGCTACTACACCAAGTCTCTTCAGTACCATACGACCTGTTCAACGCGGCTGCATGTGAGGGGAACCCAAACACGCTTCCACTTGAAGGCGCTTTACTATCATGCCTTCTTCGAAACTTCCCTGAACACGGTCTATCCGCGACATTCATCTACGCCATTTTCCACGCCCTCCTCGCCACGCTTACCGCACTACACAAACACTCCGTCTTCCACAACGCCATCACCGCAGAGAAGATCCTCATCAAGAGGCCAGACAGACCTCCTCCTCGCAATGGCTTCCGCGCTGAGGATCTCACGATACACCTCCTTCTATTTCCGACTTCGTCACTATCACCAACACCTATCACGCCCTCACAGTCGGTTCCAGACACCGCAGCTGCAATCAAGCTAGTCTACGGACTCACCCAAAACCATCCCTACTTCATTCACAGAGCGGCCAACCAGGCGCTCTGGGCTCCTGCGCCTTGGGGACCACCCTACATCGCTGACTTGGCCGATGAACTGAAGGAGGAAATGTCTGCCCCGAGATCGTTGAGAATCGCGGAGTACCTGTGGAACGACTACATGAAGGCACTGTTGGGCATGACTACAGGGCTGGATCATCACATTCTGAAAGAAATCTGGCATGTGGCTGCGTGTTCTAGGATGGAGAGGTTGCCAAGGTGGTTGGAGTCACAGATCGGGTACTGTGGTCAGGTGGTGAATATGCTTGGAGTGGGGATTGAGGATATAGAAATGTGGAGATTGAACAACGCGGAAACAGACGCCGACACGAAGGCACAAGGATCTGAGTGGTTTTCTTTCCCGATCATGTTTGGTTCGATGGATTGGGCATAATTTTGCGAGCAGGTGAAGCTGCTTTCGAACTTGGCTATGACCCCTCCGCCGATAGTCGTAGACAGTAGATATCTTGCGCAATACACCCTTCATTTGATATCTTGATACTCAGCACTGCTCTTCCAATTCTTCGGGTATCCCCTTGCAATGCGCCACTCCTCCGCCTTAGTTCTCAGCCGCTCATATGCACTCTCTCGCCATCCACCATCACCATCTTCCTGGAAACTGAACGTAATTCCAAAAGGCCAATACAACATGTTTTCAACGCGAGCTCCATCCTTGGACTCCAACAGACCGATAGCGATGTCGAAAATCTGCGGTCGTTTGCCAGTAGTGTAGAAGACCACTGCAGAACATGTGTCGCAGAAGTGGCGATAGACATCGGGCGAAGAGTTGTAGTACTTCAACGTACCCACAGCGGGGTTCTTTGCGTCAATGAGTTCGTTGAGGGCGTACATGTCGACGGGGAAGTCTTTGGTGCTATCTTTTCCAAATGATATGGACTTCGTCTCTGCGTACGTCCAGTTAAAGATGTCACTCCCACTTTGCAATCTGCAGCTGTCGCATCCACAGAAGCCGGCTTTGAGCTTCCTGCTGACAGGTTCGACGTTGGAGGGCAGCTCATCTTCGGCCATGTGCTTGTAATCGCCACGCTGGAGTACCAGATCTACCCCGCCACATTTGCAGCGTATCGGTACACTTTCTTCCCCTTTCGCTTTGAGTTCCGGGAGAGTGGAGGGTTGTGGCCAGTCCGCAGGCAACTCCTTCGCTCCAGGGCCACGACCGGCTACCACACTTTCGTAACGCTTCAGATCTTCCCCTTCGCCATTGAGAGCACAGAGCCAAGGACTTGCACCACCATCTTCCGTGTCGGCCACGAAACCCTGCCCACCGAACTTGATCAACTGGCGACCTCCGATGTCCACGTTACCGAGCGCACCAGTGACCACTCCCAGATTCCTGGCCGGATCTTTGAAGGCACAGAAGACCGGGCTTGAGCAGGTAGGGCAGAACAAGAGGTCGAAGCGCTCCCAGCAGCTGAATGTCCGAAGGCTGGAAATGTCGACGTTGGCGCGAGGCTCAGGCCATGATGTGAGCGATGTGTGGAGCGAGCCGCACAGGTGCCGACAGGTCGTGCAGTGGCACACATGCCCTGGTAAGGGAAGAGCGGATGCAGGAAAGGTTGTACTGTAGTTGTGAGCGCCACAGAGACATGATGCCGTTAGAGTTACGGTCTCGGTGGAAGAAGACATCGTAGATCTCGAAATTGGAAACGATTCTGCAATCGTTGCAGGACACTCTGGAGATGATCCTGCTAGTTATAGGATATCCAAAGTCACTATCAGGATGGGTCTCCTTACTTGCTACGTTGCATGTGCTACGCCGCAAGCATGACGATGCCAAAGTGTGACCACATGCCGGCGCATGTCGAAGGGCGTGGCGTCGGATTGGTCAGCGTACATATGTGGGGCTCGCATTTTCGCGTCGTACCTCGCATTCAGGCTTGGGTGCACAACGAGTTGCTGTTAGCGGCTTGGTTAATATTGAGACGAATCCTGCCGTCGGCTGTATAACTTGAAGGATTTTTAAATCTTGACCACCCGCATGACGTCGAATAGGCCGGTCTTCTGCTTATCGGACATGCCTGCTTTCAGAAGACCAGTTGCATGTTCGCCCTCTCGGCCCCGCTGGTTGCTCACGATCCTTGTGTCGCCTCGCTTGAACTCACATGTGCGGCCTGTCATACCCGAGATCCACATCTTCACATTGCGAAAATGAGGGCCATGTAGCAGATTGGACCCGTATGCTGATGCCCAAGGCGCATCTACGTGCCAGGAGTCCAAACAACCAGGTAGATCTGGCGCGAAGGATGTGACAACAACGATTTGTCGCTCACCCTTTGA